TATACATTTATCTTCTTAAACACTTCATAAATCTAATAAATAATACTTGTGAAAAGTCATTTATCAATATAACAAATAAAACAAAGTAATATCTGTTCATTTCGATCATAAAATGTATATTTCGATGTGAAGTCGGATGCAAAATAAATTTGATTCAGAATATATGTAATATTTTTATTTTACTTTCGAGTTTTTTCAATTTATGTTTTATTAATGTTCTATAAATTGTTTTTATTTTTGGTATCCCCTTTTTAAAAACGTAAAAACATAAATATATTACATTTTCCAATCATTTGCGTATCAATCTGCATGTCACTCCTTTACGAACTGTCGGAAAATGAGTCACATATACTTTACATAGTCTAATAAAGAGTTAAAAAATAAAAAATTCAGTTTTTCTTAAAGTAAAGAGACTAAGTATATAACAAAAGTAATAAATTATTTTCCCTACCTTCACACTCTCAGTAGACAACGTTGTTAATAACTACTATTTTAACCTTATCATACAGCTACACACATTACGCTTTCACACATTCTTACATATAAAATATCTTATCCCCATGGCACGTACTTAACAATACACCTAAATAATAACATTCAATCGAGAATCAACTTAATATTTCTGTTGTATTGTACAGTAGAAAGCCTGATCTTTTATTGGTTATCTTTAGAAAGATATTGGTTACGCTTTACGCGAATTTAACGAAATACGCGCCATGGGGATTATGGCTCCTGCACACAGGGGTGCGTTCGAAAACACTGAAAGTCCACGACGGAAAGTGGCTGTGGTGGATGGGCTTGGTGGAGTTAGTGGAGTTGGTATCGAGAGGAGTTTTCGAACAGCCATGGAAGAATGCTCAATGTGACATACTACATGTGTGTGTGCCTACATATGTGTTGTACAAAATGGCTGATCGAAAGAGTATTTCGACATTAGCTATAATTGCTTCTCAGCAAAATAATAATAAATTAATAAATTTAGTAATTAATTAATTAATTTAGTAATTATTAATTTATAATTTAGTTATCTGGAAAGTTAATTGATTATATATTCCTCGGTCCGAGACATAAAATATGACGACCCGGGATTAAATTTTCCATTTTTTTTCACAAATTGTTACTGATTCGTGACTTTTAACGTGCCTCGTATCTCGTAAGAAAATTTCAGAACCTATAAAATACAAAAAGCTTAATAAGCTTTATTTATATTTAAAGACAATATTCTGACAATATACATCACTATAGAAATAAACCTAAACCTGGCTAACCTACACTGCTGTATTTAAATTTTTTATCTTACCGTGATGGCTAATGGTTGTACGAATGTTTCGAAGAACAAAAAACCATAAATAATTTAGTAATTTCATACTGTATTGCACTCTTTGCGCACTCTCCACCATCTCCACCGATTCACACCGCGCAAAAGAGAGTGGAGAAAAGTCATACGAGTGGTCCACGGAGTACGGTTTTCGAACGGCCATGGTCGCATGGTCAGTGTGCCCACTAGGGGTTTTCGAACGATCTGAGTGTGACAAAATACACACGGGTGATGTTTTCGAACGCACCCCAGGACGCGTAAGGGCTATCGCACACAAATTGACATAACTGCATATGCATAGCATAAGACCGTATGTACCAATGAGCATCGAGTATTAAGTCGCTATTTGGTGTTCGATGCTTAATATTCGATGCTCATTGGTCCATACGATTTTATGCTATGCATATGCAGTTATGTCAATTTGTGTGCAATAGCCCTAATGCTTGCCGTGCGGCGGAATAACCTTCTAGTTCTTACAGAAAAACAACATATTGATTGGCTGTTGCGCGAACTTCCGCCGTGCGGCAAGCGTTGCCACGTCCTCCGTATAGGAGCCAATATTCTTACAACTATTGTAGAATGGCTTTTATATGGAGCACAATTTACGCGAAAAAGCGGAACAGTTTGGTGACAAATAAACATCTGTATTTATTTTTAAAAATTATATTCACTTAATTTACTGCAATTTTTACTAATATGTTTATCTTTTCAGATTATCTGTTGAATATAAGCATTTTAATTAATAAATACTGTTAAAAATTAATATTTTATAATTCCCCATACCGCTTTTCAAAATATGCCTCATGTAATATAAGGCAATCAAAACAGACGCGGAACGCGCGGAGATCTAGTCGGATTTTGTCTTCCGCATTTCCGCGTTTCCGTGTTTCCGCGCTTCATGTAATGGCATCCTGAATCTGTGGCGTCGGCGCTACGGTTCGTGCATGAATTGCGTGCACATGAGATGAGCTTGATGCTTCCTCAAACGATATTCGTACGGCTGATCTGCGCGCCGCCTTCACCACAGCGCGATGCGACGCAGCGCGACGCGACGCGACGCAATGCGCATGCCCCGGGCGGTTTATTATCTTCTTTCTGTTCAAGTGCCATTTCGTTGCATGCAGTGCAGTCTATAAAACAGAATGCGTTCTCAGTGGGTCTCGAGTTTCCTATCACTTATCGTCATTCGTAGCGTATAAACATAACAGCACGCGGTCATTAGCTCGATTCATATTGTTTACGTATCTGTCTGGCACATGGGAGCGCTGCCGGATCGCGGCTAAAATTGCGTTGGTGTCGTCTGGCTGGTCATAAAAGACTACGGGACTGCTCGGGATCGTTCGTGGCGTCTCAGGCGTCGTTGGATATTCGCGGGATCCTCTTCACGATACGGGCGCGCAAAAATGTCATGCAGCTACGCGGACGGGTTATCGCCGTACGAAAACAAAGGAGTGCTGGGACAGGAGGAGGTAAAAAAAAAAGGAAATACGACCAGAGATTCTTTGTTTTTTCTTTTTTTTTTTCTTTCGTATCTTTTTCTTTTTCCCTTTCGCGGCGTTGCGGCGCGTAAACGAGCGGATGCGACGGCGAGTTTCCCCTCGACGCCGATCTATCTCGCGCGATCGATCGGAGAACGGATGCGCGTCTTTGTTTCTTTTTTTGTTTTTTTTTTTTATTCTTTCTTTTCCACTTCCCTTTCTCTTTGTGATTGCAGAGATACGACACCGCGGAGACGCTCCGTCTGAAATGCGGCCTCCTGGCCGACTGGATACAAGGCGCCCGTCACGTCGTGGTGCATACCGGCGCCGGTATCAGCACCGCCGCTGGTATTCCTGACTTTCGGTGACTATCGCCCGTCGTTTCTCAATTATGATCTTCCTTCCCTTCTTCGTGCACTCGCCTGTTGTCCTTTTCCCCTGTTTATCTCTGATGAGGACAGAGTTTGATCTTGTACCTTAGAAGACCTGATGCAAAGAATCTTGAAGCTCGAAGATTAAGTATGAACTGAGAACATTGAGTATGTAAAAAATGTTACATTTTAATGTGCCTTTATGAAAATTAATTGTTTTGAACATATTTTTGTATGTGGTATATCTGAGAACATTGAGTATGTAAGAAATGTTACATTTTAATGTACCTTTATGAAAATTAATTGTTTGAATATATTTTTGTATGTAGTACATCTTTGAAGTACATGTACATATGTATATGTTGCGTGTGATATATTTCACATTTTAACAACTTCTTAGATTGTTGCAAATTATTTAGTGAATCTAAGAATAATGATTAGCAAAATAACATTACTTATAAATTTCTTCTTGACAAATGGGATAAAAAAAATGATTTTTATAATAGATTGAGAGAATAGGAAAGATATAAATATTAAGATTGTTATTGTCAATTGTTATAGTAATTGCTTTTATTGACCAAATATTGTATGTAATTTTAATGTTAAATTTTTAATGTTAAATTAATGTAATTTAATGTTAAATAATTGCTTAATGTAATTTAATGTTAAATAATTGCTTAATGTAATTTAATAATAAATAATTGCTATTGGTTAATTGTTTTTTTTGTATTAGGGGTACAAATGGTGTATGGACATTGGAGCAGAAAGGTTTAAAACCTTCAATGAACATTTCTTTCGATGAAGCCATACCTACAAAGACGCATATGGCACTGAAAAAGTTGATAGAGAGCAGTAAGTATCAATGAATAAATTCTAAAGAAGACTATGTAATTTCCCTTATAAATATTCAGTTGCTACAAAATATTTTCTTCTTTTCAGAAAAAGTAAAATTCATCATAAGCCAGAACATAGATGGACTGCATTTACGATCAGGAGTACAGAGACAGCACCTCGCAGAATTACATGGAAACATGTTCACAGAACAGTGTGACAAATGTGGCAGGTTTGTATACATAACATTATAATAAAAATATTTGTAGGACCTAAAAAATATATAGGAGATTTTAGAGATAGGTAATCAAATTTTAGGAACATATTTCACTTCTCTAGACCCTTAACCCTTTAACCTCTTGACGAAAAATTGCTTTTGAAAAAAGAGTTAATAAAAGTATAAGAAAGTTACTTTCTGAGATTTATTAGAGTCTTTGAATCTAAGGTCAAAATTCACAATTGCAGGATAAAGACCCAAAATTCGTTCGATTTGCATAAAAATTTATATTAAGTGTTTCTTGAAGTCGTTATTTTTGAATTCAAAATAAAAATTTTTTACTGAAAAAATTACAAACTTAATATGGCGGCGAAAACTTTAAAATGATTAGAACTTTTTAAAATTAATTTTTATACGAATTAAAGCTCCTGGCCCCTCGCATTGTCTATCTCTATGACGTCAAAAGCGAGAAAATGCATGCTAAAAATTCTTGCGATATAAAATTGTATATCCATAAAATTGTTGAAATAAAATTGTATATCCATAAAGTAACACTTGCAATCAATTAGACAAATTTGTAAAATATTCCGTGCACTCCTCTCTTGCTCTAACAATCAATAATTTATCGTAAATTAACCTGAATATAAATAAGCAAAGAAATATGTTAAGAAAATGAATTGCATGTCACGTTAATTTACGACAAATTATTAATTGACAGAGGAAAAAAGGAGTGCACGGAATATCTTTCAAATTTATTTGATTGCAAGTGTTACTTTATTGATATATATTTTTATTTTAATGTATTTTGCAAGAAATGCATGTTTTTAGCATGAATTTTCTCGCTTCTGACATCATTAGACATAATGCAAAAGGCCAGGAGCCTTAAACCATATTTTGAATTTTTTATCCATTATATTGAATTTGCTATTTTGAATTTATGAATTTTTATTTTGATTTTGAAATCAATGATTCAACAAAATCTTTAAATTCCAATTTTTATGCAAATCGAATTTTTTAAACTTTCGATTTGCTATATTCTATTTTAAATTTCGCAATTTTGACCTCAGATTTGTATTTAACGACTCCAGAAACAAAAATATAATATTCCGTTATAATAACTCCGGTATAATTATTTTTTTTAATGTGCGGATATTTCTGTCATAAGCATTTTTGACTAGTTTTATTTTTGCGGATATTTCCGTCACTAACAATTAAGAAGTTAAGTAAACGTGTAACTTTTCTTTATTTTTATCTAATAATTTTATAAATAATTATAAAATATGTAAGTAGTTATAAGATATGTTTAAAACATAAAATATAATATGTATATATCACAAGTTAAAAGTCTATAATCGAGAAATATTTCGCTTCATATTTCTCATTAGAGAAATATTCGTTTGTTCATTTGTCTGTGTTAGTTTGACTTCCACGCGTCTATTTACGGATTAGGAATGGGAAAAGTAAAAATAAACATATATATATATATATATATATATATATATATATATATATATATAAATATACAAGATGCCTGACACTTAGTGTCTCATACTTCGTGTAGAAGTAGACATGTAGACGTTATAATTAAACCGATCAAACTGAATACAAAATTTCCCTACCATTTTGCACAAACGACTGTATAAAAACTTTTAGTTATTAATTAAAGAGGATTGATAAATATGTGTGCAATCACGCGCTGTGCTAACGGCCGTAGTGACGACGTTGATTATCACGTGCTTATAGATTAGCTTAAAGTAAACAAAAAAGTTTCGTACAATTTTATAAATAATGAAGTAGATTTTTAAATTATCAGCTAAAAAAGATTTGAAGACGGTCGCGTGCGATTATTGGCCAATTTTCTTTAATTAAAGCTATTACACTCGCTCTTCGCCGCGGAACTCTCTTTTAGTGGTGTCAGAGATCAGAAAATATACGGTAAAAATTCTTGCAAAATACATTGAAATAAAAAAAATATACCCATAATATGGTACTTGCAATCGATCGAACACATGAAATTGTAACACATGAAATTTTTACACATGTGTAAAATAATTTAAACGTTTTCTTTTTACTTTAACAATCAATAAATTACTGTAAAATTAATCGTATAAGTAAAATTAACATGACCCGTAACCCATCTTCTTAACCTATATTTTATCACGTTAATTTTATAATTACTTACTGGTTGTTAGAACAAAAGGAAAGTATTCGGGTTATTTTATACACCTGTTTGATCGGTTGCAAATATTATTTTATAATCATATTTTTTTATTTTTACGTATTTTACAAGAATTTTTGAAACATGTATTGTCTCACTTCTGACATAATAAATCAAAATAGCCATGGCAAGAAGCCAGCGGCCTTAATAATTGAAAATTTTACGTTGGTATTTGCAAAATGATGGTAGAGTGATTTTGAATTCGGTTTCACATAATCTACATGTACACAAAATATAAGATTTTTAATGTCAAGTAGTCCTGTACAGATTATGTAAATAAGATGGAAAACTCTTCTTTTTTAGAACATAAATATTGTTTATGATATATTTTAATCTCACTGCTCTCTCTCACTGCTTTCTCTCTCTCTCTCTCTCTCTCTCTCTCTCTCTCTCTCTCTCTCTCTCTTTCTCTCAATTTTTTTGATTATTATACTATTAAAAAATAATTTTTAATTATTAATAATATTTAATTATTATATTGGATGGTTATTCGGATAGCGAATAAATATAACATTTTAAATTCAGGTTATCTGCGGATTCGTATATTTTATGAAATATACAAACAGTTGAAGCGTTGAATCCGAATCTAAGTTCTCGGCGGAATCTAAGTTCTCGAATCGGTCAAATACGTCCATAACAACTGAGATCCCTCTCGAACATTTAACAATAAATCGGTATGAATGTAGATATAGGTTCGGATTCGAATCTATATTTTGTATACAGGGTGTCCCAGATCACCACTCTTAAACTTTGCGAGAGAGTAGAACGGATCGAGGTGAATATAAAAATCCCATACCGTTTTGCGATATTCGTAATAAATCTCGAAATATTAATTAAAAAAGATTAGTAAATGATCACTCGCGATATGGTAGATAAGCTGTAGTGGCGGTATGTACTGTTATGTGCTTATACATTAATCAATAAGATCAAATTGAATAAAAAAATTCTTTATCGTTTTAAAAATTACTACGTAGATTTTTAATTATTCATGAAAGAAAATTGTTACATGATTGTGCGCGATAATACAGAAATTTTCTTTAATTAATATCTAAAAATCTATGTGGTCATTTGAAAAATAATAAAGGACTTTTTTGTTCAGTTTAACTTATCGCGTGTGATCATTCATTAATCTTCTTTAATTAATATCTCGAAATTTATTGCGAATATCTCAAAACGATATGGAACTTTTATGTTTATCTCAATCCGTTCTACGCTCTCGCGAAGTTTCAGAATGGTGATTTGGGATACCTTGTATACATATATAGGGTGTTCCAGATCAAATCACAAATTTTTTGATACAACAAATATTTTTAGAATTTTGAAGTTGTTACACTTTACGTAGGCTATCCTGTATATTGGGTGTCTGACTCGTACCATACCAGAACTAATATATAGCTAGAATAGGTCGGGATGAATAATGGAATCAGTGTCTTTTTTTAAACAACTACGTAAAATTTCGAGTTATTAAATAAAGTAGATGGCTTAATCAGAGCGCGTGATGCGGCAGGCGGGACATACGGCTCGCCGCGGCCGGTGAAGAAAATGGACGATTGCTCGCGGGACGATTGCTTGCCTATTTCATTTGGTAGCTGCTACCAAACATAGGCCCACCTCTCTGGCCTATGAGATAGGTTTGCGAGCAATCGTCCATTTTCTTCACCACCCGCCGTGAGCCGTATGTCCCGCCTGCCACGTCGCTGTGTTCTGATTAGCCCATCTACTTTATTTAATAACTCAAAATTTTACGTGGTTGTTTAAAAAATGACACCGATTTCATTACTTACCCTGACCTATTCTAGCTATATATTAGCTCTGGTACAATACGAGTCAGACACCCTGTATACAGGGTGTCCCGCGTAAGACGTGCCAAAAGAAAAATATAAGTAAAACAGATAAAACTGAACGAAAATTGTAGAGATCATTTTTCAAACAACCACGTAAAATTTCGAGATATTAATAAAAATAGTTGGACAAATTAGAGCGCGGCGACGCGGCAGGCGAGACATACGGCTCGTCGTGGTCGGCGAAAAAAATGGACGATTGCTCGCGAACCTATCTTATAGGTCAGAGAAGTAGGCTATTTGGCATACGGAAATAGGTAGCGTGTGTGCGTACGTGTGTGCGTACGTGTACGTGTGCGCTCGTCCATTTTCTTCGCCGGCCGCAGCAAGCCGTATGTTCCGCCTGTCGCGTCGCGCACTCTAATTTGTCCAACTATTTTTATTAATAT